ATTTATTTGAGAGAGAGAATGAGAGAGAGAGAGAGAGAGAGCACATGAGAGGGGGGAGGGTCAGAGGGAGAAGCAGACTTCCTGCCGAGCAGGGAGCCCGATGCGGGACTCGACCCCGGGACTCCAGGATCATGACCTGAGCCGAAGGCAGTCGCTTAACCAACTGAGCCACCCAGGCGCCCCAAGTCTTCTATATCCTTATTGATATTTCTGTCTACTTGTTCTATCAGTTATTGAGAGGGGGTATTGAGATCCGCTAAATCTGTGGGTTTGTCTATTTCTTTCACTTCTATCAGTGTTTGTTTCATGTATTTTGAAGCTCTGATATTAGGCATAGTAACATTTAGGATTGTTAGGTACTTGATAAATTGACCCTTTCATCATAGTGGGATAACCCTCTTCTATCCCATGTAGTGTTCCTTGATCTTAGATCTGTTTTGTCTGTTATTGACATAGGCATTTCAGCTTTCTGTTGAATAGAATTAGAATAGTATGTCTTTTCCCATCCTTTTGCCTATTTCTGTCTTTATGTTTGATTTAGGTTTTTTTTTTAATTGAGGTATAATTGACATACACAATTATATTAGTTTCAGGTATACAACATAATGATTCAATGTTTGCATATATTGTGAAATGATCACCACAATAAGTCTGGTTAATGTTTGTCACCAAATATAGTTATAGATTTTTTTTTGAGAGGCAAATGAGCATTTATTTGGGATTAAAGAATTGCAGTGTGGGGAGGACAAATTCAAGTAAATACCCAAATAGGATTCCCACTTGTCGGGTGAAAGCAACAGGTTTTTAGAGGAAGAGGTAGGGAGCAATTACCTGAGTTGAATGAAAGGGGAAAAAAGGTTTTCTATTTATGTTTACAAGCCAAATTACTCTGGGTTATACATTAACTGTTGACTTTTTCCCCAGAAAGTCCCTAACAATCAGTCTTGTAATCAGGGTGTCTGTTCTCCTGGTGACTTCTCAAACAATTGCTTAACATAATTACCATTTTGTCCAGAAGGTTTCAGCCAGTTCAAACAAAAGCAAGTAAGGTGGTTTCTCTACAATGTCTGCTCCAACTCTGTTTTATTTATTTATTTTATTTTTAATTTTTAAAAATATTTATTTATTTATTTATTTATTTATTTATTTATTAGAGAGCGAGCGAGAGAGAAACAGCACGAGAGGGGAGAGGGTCAGAGGGAGAAGCAGGCTCCCCGCTGAGCAGGGAGCCCCATGCGGGACTCGATCCCAGGACCCTGGGATCATGACCTGAGCCGAAGGCAGTCACTTAACCAACTGAGCCACCCAGGCGCCCTCCAACTCTGTTTTAAAGCGGCTCTAGTCCTGTCAGTTTTACACAAGATCGTGAGGCAGGTAGACTTGTTTTCTTACGATGAGAACTTCTAAGATTTACAGTCTTAGCAGTTTTTGAATATACAATGCAGTATTATTGACTATAGTCATCATGTTGTACATTATATCTCCATAACTTTTTAAAAGATTTTATTTTTAAGAAACCTCTATACCCAGTGTGGGGCCTGAACTCACAACCCTGAGATCAAGAGTTGCATGCTGTACTGACTGAGCCAGCCAGGCACTGCCCCTATGACTTTTTTATAATTGGAAGTTGTACCTTTTGACTACCTTCATCTATTTTGCCTACCTTCTGCCCTCTGCCTCTGACAACTACCAGTCCGTTCTCTGTATCTATGAGCTTAATTAATTAATTAATTTTTAAAGATTTATTTATTTGAAAGAGAGAAAGCATGCATGCATGTGCGAGTGGTGGGGAGGGGCAGAGGCAGAGGGACAGAATCTCAAGCAGACTCCCTGCTGAATGTGGAGCCTAACACAGGGCCCGATCTCATGATCATGACCCGAACTGAAATCAAGAGTCAAATGCTTAACCCACTGAGCCACCCAGGCGCCCCTTATTTATTTTTTTAGATTCCACATATAAGTGATATCATACGGTATTTGTCATTCTCTAACCTATTGCACTTAGCATAATGTCTCAAGTTCCATCGATGTTATCATAAATGGCAAGATTTCATTCCTCTTCTTATTTTTTTCTAAGTTATCTCTACACCCAATATGGGGCTTGAATTCACAACCCTGAGATCATGAGTTGCATGCTCTACTAACGGAGCCAGCCAGGTGCCCCAAGATTTCATTCTTTTTCATGGCCAAATAACATTCCATTATATATATATATGTATGTATATATGCCCCCCCGCATTTTTCTTTTATTTTTAAAGATTTATTTGAGAGAGAGAGAGAGATAGAAGGGGGGAGGGGCAAAGGGAGAGAGGAGAGAATCTTAAGCAGACTCCCTGCTGAGCATGGAGCCCACTGTGGGCCTTGATCTCATGACCCGAAGATCATGATCTCGAGGTCACAACCTGAGCAGAAACCAAGAGTCATACACTTAACTGACTGTGCCACTCAGGTGCCCCCACCCTGCATTTTCTTTATCCATTCATCCATTGGTGGGCATTTAGGTTGTTTCCATATCTTGACTGTTGTAAATAATGCTGCAGTCAACAACATGGGGATGCATATATTTTTTAGAGTTAGTGTTTTTGTTTTCTTTAGATAAATACACAGAAGTGGAATTGCTGAATCATATGGTAGTTTTTAAAAATTTTTTTGAGGAACTTCCATACTATTTTTCATAGTGGCTGAGATTTACATGAGCACCAGTAGAGCACAAAAGTTCCCTTTTCTCCACATCCTCACCTACACTTGTTATTTCTTGACTTTTTGATAATAGCCATTCTAACAGGTGTTAGGTGATATTTCACTATGGTTTTTGAATTAGATTTTTGTAGGCAACATATAGTTGGGTCTTGCTTTTAGCAATATATCAATCTCTGCCTTTTAATTGGGCTTTTTATATCTTTTCATTTAATATGGTTATTGATATATAGGGTTTAAATTAGTGGTTAGCTGAAACTGATACCTCTGGCTCATACTAGCTTGCAAGGTTTGATTGTGCATATCTCTTCTCATCTTTGCTTTCAGTGATTTAAATTAGCTGTGGTAGGAGTATTTACACAACAAAATTTGGTAAATATATCAGTTAGGTCTCTTCCACCCTTGTGAGCCTGTTATTAAGCATTTCCTAGGACAACTCTGGTTTAAATCTACTGTCTTGCTACTTGTTTTCTTTTTGTTCAATATCTTCTTTGTTCCTTTTTTTTCTTTGTCTTCTGTTGAGATTTTTTTTTTTTTGGTAATTTCACATATGTTGTTTTATAAGCTCATTAACTATATCTCTGGTGTTTTGTCTTGCTTTTAGGATTTATAATATATATCTTTTTTTTCTTATTCAACATATCTTTATCATTCTTTTCTCAAGCAGAATATTTTTGTCTTGTGCACCAAAAAATAATCTTCATTTATTCATTCAACAATTATTTGTAGAATGTTTGCTATGTGGCAGTCCATATGCTAGGCATTGGGTATCTGTACAAAGGTGTATGAAAAAGAATTCATGACTTCAGGGAGTTCATAATCTAGTAGGTAAACTGAGAAGAAACTGTTAGCTTTCCCTTTGTGGAATATTAGTAGTAGGAACTATGTTCTTGTACTCTAGAACCACGGAAACAAAGGTGATTATACTCTCTGAATATTGCTTTATTTTAATCTTAATTCACTTCTTTTCTCAAACACCCAAGCATGCTCCTGCCTTAGGATCTTTTTTGTTGCAGTTCCCTCTGCCTAGAATGCTCCTCCTCAAGGTTGCCCAAATGACTTACCCCTTACTGCTTCACATTCCTGCTCAAACACCATTTTGTCGATGAGACCTCCCTGACAGTTGTGTATAAAGTAGCACTTCCTACCTTCAGTCTTTATTCTCTTACTTGGATTTATTCTTCTTTATAGCATTATTAAATTTTTTAAAATGATTTATTTATTTATTTGAGAGTGAGAGAGTAAGTGAGTGGGAGGAGCAGGAGAGGGACAAGCAGACTCTGCACTGAGCATGGAGCTGAGGCAGGGCTTGATCCCACAACCCTCAGATCATGACCTGAGCTGAAATCAAGAGTCAGACGCTCAACTGACTGAGGCACCCAGGCGCCCCTATTTACATTTTAATTTATTTTTATCTTCATCACCTTCTGCCCCCTCCCTGCCACAGATGTAAATGCCAGATGAGCAGAGGCTTTATCTGTTTTGTTCACTGTTTTATCCCCAGCACCTTGAGTAGTTATGGGTACCTACTGGATTCTTTATTTATTTTTATTTTATTATTATTATTTTTAAAGATTTTATTTATTTATTTATTTGAGAGAGAGAGAGCAAGAGGGAGAGGGAGAGAGAATCCAAAGCACACTCCATGCTGAGTGCAGAGCCCCATGCTGGCTCGATCCCACACCGCGAGATTATGACCTGAGCTGAAACCAAGAGTTGGGCACTTAATTGACTGAGCTATCCAGGAGCACACGCTACTGGATTCTTTATAAATATTTCATGAAAAATTAATACTTCACTTGATTATTTTTCCTTTCCATGTTTCCTTGCAAAGCATTTCCTGACTGATTTTATTCACATTGCTTATTTTTGCTTTACTATGTGCTTAGAATATGCATATGTCTTTCAGATTAGAATATGCATATGTCTTAGAATATGCAACTATTACAGTGTAAGAGTTGAATGAGACCCTTATCATATCAAGTACTTATTGATTTTTTTCCCTCTCTCTTAGTCTTCACATAGGACCAACCCAATTGATAAACATCTTGAGGTCCTGATCAATAAATATGGATTGTCTGCCAAACCAGTTGCTCCTCAGATGTTTGCGTGTGCTGGGAAAGAGCACATGGAAAAATATGGTATGTTAAAAAAATTTTAAGGTCTATAGGTAGTTGTATGCATGTGATGAGAAACAACAAGAATTTATTCAGGATCTGTGGACAATGCCAAGATATATAAAATATAAAATGGTTTTTGAATTAAATTGAAGAAATAGTCCACAAAGGGTTTAGTTGTAGAGAAAGTATTATATATAAGACATCATATGGGAAGTACCTAGAATGATCCATGCCAAGAAATTGAAATAGGAAAAATAACATAAATCTTGTCCCCTTTAATCATGAATTATAAATCGAGGTTTCTAAGTTCTGAATATGATGACACTTAAAGCATGCTGTTGGTAATATGTTTATATAGCCAAATTTAATTCTTAGTACTTGAATTCACCAAGAATCCATCATCTGTCATTCCATAATGTTTTATTAGATTTAAATTTCATAGTTGATTTGCATTTTATAGGTTTACATCCTAATTTTTTGACGGATGATCAATGATTGGCTTGCCTTAGACAGTTAGTTAAAGCATGGGATAGTGCAGATGGGATTTTTTTTTAATTGTATGACCCTGAACCAGTGCCTTGCTGTGTACTATTAGATAAGAAAGGAAATGATTATACTCAAAAGTTCAACATTCCTATTCTCTCTAGGAAAAATATCCCAGGTTGTTTGATAGATCAAATAATTAGAAAGGAAAAAAATCTTCAGAGAAGAATGGTGGGAGGAGCATTGCCAGTTTTTGGCCAGGAGAATTTTCTTTCCTAAAGCTATTTCCTACATTTTTAACCTCAGTCCATTCCAGTCTGGCTTCCCTCCTTTCTTAAGGCTACCATTGAACACCATGTTGCCATATCCAGTACATACATTTTAATCCTAATTTAACAGACCTCAGCACTATTAATCCCTTTGCCCACTTCCTTCTTGAAACATACTCTTCTCTTGGCTTTCATGACACCTCATTCTCCTGGTTTTTCTTACCTCTTTGGCTATTCCTTGTCCATTTCCTTTTCAATTAAAATATTATTTGAGCTCTCATTATATTCTAGGCACTGTTCTAGGCATTGGAATATAGCAGTATATCAATTTCCTATTGCTTTGTAATAAACTATGCCAAAACTCAGTGATTTAAAAAAATAATTATTTATTATTATAGTTTACAAGTTAGTAGATTGGGAATCAGCTCATCTAAGCTGAGCTCAGACCTTATTTGGGTTAATCATATGGCTATAAGTTGGTTGGAAGCTCTGTTCCACTCTTGTTTGTCAGGGTCATATGTCTCTCCTCCTCCTGGGACCAGACAGCTGGCCCTGGCATGTCCTTTTCATGGTGACAGCAGGACAAGAGAGTAATTTGCAACATGTAAAGCCTTTTGAGACTTAGGCTGTTGACCAAAGCAAGTTACATGGCAAACTTGGAATCAAGGGATAGGGAAATATATTTCATTTCTTTTGTGGTAGGAAACTACAAAGACAGACCTAAAAGGACATTTAAGAGGGAAAAATAATTAAGTATGTTAGTGCATTCATTCACAAGCTATCAATAAGCAGATGAGATGTGAAATTTTTGCTTAAATTTCTAGTTTGGGACAGATAATATGAAAAAAATGAAGATAATTTCAGGTAATTATTAGTCCTGTGAGGAAAAAAAAAACAAAGTAATATACTTATGGGAAGAGGGGGGCCAGTGATGGCCTCTGTACTCCCATATCCAGTTGGCATCTTGGATCTCTGCTTGTATCTTTAATAGGCATCTCAAATTTAACATGTTCATTTTTATTTTTTTAAAGATTTTTTTTTTTGTCAGAGAGAGAGCACAAGCAGGGGGTGCGGCAGGCAGAAGGAGAAGCAGGCTCCCTGCTGAGCAAGGAGCCCGATGCCAGGGCTCGATCCCAGGACCCTGGGATCATGACCTGAGCTGAAGGCAGACGCGTAACCGACAGAGCCACTCAGGCGTCCCAAATTTAACATGTTCAGATGTAGACTCTTAACTCTGTTCTCCCATAATTTTAAACTTGTTCCTTTTCTAGTTTCCTCGTCTCAGTAAGTGGCACTTCCATCCGTTCAGATGTTCAAAGCAGAAACATGAAATCATCTTTGACACTTCTCCGGCCTTTTCCCCTATTCCATTCCCTCATTATGTCCTGTCCATTCTACCTGCAGACTCCCAGTCCCTCATTATGTCCTGTCAATTCTAACTGCAGACTCCCAGTGTTTCTTCCTTCCAGTTCCTTTCACTACCACAGCTCTTACCCTAGATTTTTCAGTCTGTGGGTTGTGACCTGCTAGGAAATGATGGAATCAAGTTAGTGGGTTGAACCCAGCATTTTTTTAAAGTCAAAACATTTTCAGTGCTGGGTATTAAAACTCAATACAGAAAAGTACACAAAACATAAATATACAGCTTAGTGAATTCTCATAGAGCTCCTCACTGTGATCAAAACCACCTACGAGGTAAAAAATAGAATGTTAATACTCAAGAATGCTCTCTGTAGATTATTCTTAAGAATTTTGTGGGTCTCTTGTGAATCATCTTAGGTCACTCCATTAGACAAAAAGCTACACCTACAAATCCCTTTGAGATAAGCTCTCCTTCCTTGGGTCTTTTCTGAGATGGCTGAGGGACAATATTCTTAAGCTTCCTTGTAGTTCTTATCAATCATGAGAGGATTTGTGAGGCGCAGCCCTTTTCTCTTTAGAGGGCTTTTTTTCTGTTTGAACTATATTCTGAGGCATCACTTTTGATCTGAGATCTTTTTTTTTTAATTTTTTAAATTTAAATTTTTTTTTAAGGATTTTATTTATTTATTTGACAGAGAGAGACACAGCTAGAGAGGGAACACAATCAGGGGGAGTGGGAGAGGGAGAAGCGGGCTTCCCGCGGAGCAGGGAGCCCGATGTGGGACTCGATCCCAGGACCCTGGGATCATGACCTGAGCCGAAGGCAGACACTTAACAGCTGAGCCACCCAGGCGCCCCTGATCTGAGATCTTTAACAAAAGATTTGTCACACCCTGGGCCTCATCTTTGGACCATTTTTTCCTGGCAGTGCCCTGGATTTGATCTTTGCTCAAAGGCCATTTCTTAATTTTAGCATCTCTTCCCATTTGAGAAGCTTGAATTTTCAAAATCATCAAGTCCTGAATTCTTTTTATTTAATAGCCCTCTCCTCTATGTAGCAATATAGATTTTTACTATAAATAGCAAGAAGAAACCATGTGGCACCTTCAATATTTTCCTTATTATCTAATTTTCACGTAACTGCAGATAATAGTGTTATTATAATTTCTGCTTCTATTGTAGCAAGGATTTCCTTTCCTCTAGTCTTCAGTAAGGTTTTATCATTTTGCAAACCCTCACCAACAGCATCCTCAAAGGATCTGGAGGCTTCTAGTAATAGTTTCTTTAAGGCACTTTAGGCTTTCACTAGCAGTTTCTTCATAACCACCTCCTGTTTCCAAAACCATCCACATATTTTACATTTTTTGTTTAGTGTAACCCCAATTCCAGTATATTAGTCTGCTCGAGCTGCTATAACAAAATATCATAGACTGGGTGGCTCAAACAACAAAAATTTATTTCTCACAGTTCTAGAGGCTGGGAAGTCCAAGATCAAGGTGCAAGATAGCTTTTATTCTGAGGTCTTTTCCTTTGGCTTGTAGCTGGCTGCCCTCGATTCATGTGTACTCAGATTCATGTGTACTCAGATTCATGTGTACTCAGATGACCTCTTCTTTTGTGCAGGTGCAGGGAGAGAGAGAAAGAGAATGAGAGAGACAGAGTGAGAAAAGGAAACATCTTTCTCTTCCCCTTCTTAAAAGGATTATTGTAAGGGCACTAACTCATCATGAAGGCCTCACCCTCATGACCTTGTCTACCCTAATTACCTCCCAGTAGTCCCGTTTCCAAATACCGTCACACTGAGGGTTAGGGCTTCAACATATGAATTTTGTCAGGGACACAGTCTGTAGCATTTAGGTACCAAAATGTGTATTCATTATTTGTTATTGTATAATAATGAGACTGTGTATTTTAAAAAATAATTTCTTATTGTTTTCATTCTGGTTGTATAGTCTCCTGGGTTTAAGCACATTGGCCTTTTTATCAGTGTCTTCAGTAAGCCAAACTGTTTTCTGCCTTAGAATCTCATATTCCCTTCCCTTTGGCTACAGTGCTCTTTACTCCATTCTTTCAAGGTCAGCTGTCCTCATCGTTTTTTTTTTTTTTTTTTTTAAGATGGGACTTGAATTCACAACCCTGAGATCAAGACCAGAGCTGAGATCAAGAGTCAGATGCTTAACTGACTGAGCCACTCAGGCACCCCCATCCTTTAGGTCTTAAAAGAAAAAAAAAAAAACAAAAAAAACTTGTCTCATATATCCAACACTTTACAAAAGTATCTCCACTTGGATGTCAAAGAGGCATCTCAAATTTAATAGGTCTAAAACTGAAGTCCTAATTCTTTCCCTGAATTCCCTTTTCCCTCTGTTCTTCCTGAAGTTTTCCCATTCAATAAATGGTAACTCCATCTTTCTAGGACCTTTGGCCAAAAACCTTGAAGCTGTTCTTGATTCTACTTGAACTTGACATTCACTGTATTGGCAAACGTTTTCACTCATTTTTCAATATCCATTTCTTACCCTTTCTACCACTTATACTATAGTGCAAGCCACCATCATTTCTCACTTGGATTGTAGGAGTCCTAACTTTTTTTGCTTTTGCTTATGTATATCTACAGGCAAATCTTCACTTTATAGCCGGAGCAGTGTTTTGTCTGTTTTGTTTTTTGTTTTTTAATTCAAGAATCACCAGTCAAATCAATATTTAGTTTTATTGACATGTATGAGACCAAGCATCCCTGGCTGCTACAGGAGTATAGCAGACAGTTATAGTTAAGAAGCAACTTTATTTTGAGCAGGGGGAAGGACAACGCCGTACTTAACAGCTGTATTAGAGTCTAAATCCTGCTTCAGAGCAGTGTGTTTAACATATAAGGCAGATCATTTCACTCCTCTGCTCAAAACTCTGCATGTGCTCTCATCACGTTCAGATTGAAACTTAGAAGTCTTACTATAGCCTGCAAACTTCTACACAATCTGGTCCCCCACCCTCCTTAGCTTTCTGACCTCATCTCTTACCATTTTTTTTCTTTCACCATTGTACTCTAGCCACATTATCCTTTCTGTTTTTGAAAACAATAAGCACATTCCTACTTCAGGCAGGGCCTTGCCCTTTCCACTTCTGGAATGCTCTACCCTAAGATCTCATCAGTGCTAGCTCCCTTATTTCAATCAGGTTTTGCTTAAGTATTGTCATCTGCTTCTTTCATCACCCTCTTTCCCAGAACTCCCTATCCTCTGTCTCTGGCTTTACTATTTTATGTAACACTTATAAAAATCTGGCATATGTATTTTTTCTTACTGACTGTCTCTTCCAGCCAGAATCTAAGTTCCATAAGGCCACTGATTTTTGTTTTATTCCCTGTTCATTGACTGTTATTGACAACAGTGCCTGGCACAAAACAGGTATTCTGTAATTAATTAATCTTCAAAGAAAGGCTGTCTTTGACCATTCAAATTGAAGTAGGTCCCTCCTGTTATTCTCGTTCATAGATAGCCCCCTATTGCTTTCCTTCATAGCATCTAGCACTGTTTATATTCATATATATTTTGTGTGTGGTTTTATTTGTTTAATTTTTGTCTTCCTCATTATTCTGTAAACTCCATGAAAGCAGGATCCCTGTCTGTTTTATTTACTTTCAATATACCCAGCTTAGTACAGTGCTTGGCATGTAATCTAGACAGAAGAAAATTGTTTTGTTTGTTTTTTCCTTTCTCTTCTACAGTCCCTAGCATATGTAAATACTCAATAAATATTTGTTGAATGAATTCCCATACCTATATTGTCTTATTCGATTCTCATAACAATCCATTATGGGGGATGTTATTATCCCATTAAGTAAGATTCTGGCTGCTGGCTTCAGGATCTTTTATATATATATAATTTTGTTGTGTTCAGAAAGTATTCGTCAGTTGTTTTCTTGAGGTTTTTTTTTTTATCTTTCAGGAATGGGAAGTTGTATTTTGTTAAAGGCTTTTTCCAGCATCTGTTGAATTAATTGCATTATGTCCCTCATTTAGATCTGTTATTAGAATATTTTATTAACGGATTGCTGATATTGAACCAACTTTGCATTTCTGGAATGAATGCCACTTGGTCATGATGTATTGATTTTTTTTTTTTTTAGTGGGGGGTTAGATTCTGTCACTATTTTATTTAGTACTTTAAATCAGTATTCATAAGTGATATTGATGTATAATTTTCTTTTTTTCCTGTCTTTTTTCCTTATCTTTTTCCTTTTCTTTTTTCCTTGTTTTAATACCAAGTTGTATTAATTTTATACTTGCTTTATAAAAAGAAATAGGAAGCCTTTCTTTACTTTTAATGCTCTGATACAATTTGTGGAGTATTGGGACTACCTGATCTTTGTAGGTTTGGTAGAATTCCCTGTGAAAACATCTCGGTCTGTTTTTCTTTCTTTTTGGTAGTTGCTTGGTAATTTATATATTTCTATATGTTTGAACATCTTATCTTTAGTGAGGTCGTTTTGGGCAGTCTGTATATCTCTAGGAAATTATCCATTTCATTTAGATTTCCAAATCTTTGTATAGAAGTCTGAAAAGTAGTCTTTTACAACTTTAAAACTTGTTTCTATCAATGGTATTTCCCTCTTGTTATTTTTTTTAAAGATTTATTTATTTATTTGAGAGAGAGAGAGAGAGAGTGTGTGAGCATGAGCAGGGGGAGGGGCAGAGGAAGAGGGAAAGAATCTCAAGCAGACTCCCCACTGAGTGGTGAGCCTGTCTTGCGGCTCCATCCCAAGACTCTGAGATCACGACCTGAGCTGAAACCGAGTCAGATGCTCAACCAGCTGAGCCACCCAGGTGCCCCTCTCTTGTTATTTCTTATTTTTGTGTATTCCTGCTTTCCTTTTAAATTAGTAGTAGTTTATTTGTTAAATTTTTCAAAATAACAGGATCTTGATTATGTCTGCTCTTTTTATTCTTTACCAGATTAATTTCTGCTTTTATCTTCTTTGTGCTTTCTTTTAGTTTACTTCAGTTGTTGTTTTTCTAGTTTTTGAGTTGGAAATTTAATACATTTTCTTTCTTTTTTTTTAAAGATTTTGTTTATTTATTTGAGAGAGAGAATGAGATAGAGAGTACATGAGAGGGGGGAGGGTCAGAGGGAGAAGCAGACTCCCCGCTGAGCAGGGAGCCCGACGCAGGACTCGATCCCAGGACTCCAGGATCATGACCTGAGCCAAACGCAGTCGCCTAACCAACTGAGCCACCCAGGCGTCCCCATTTTCTTTCTTTTTAATGACAACTTTATTGAGATATAATTCACATCCCATAAAAGTCACTCTTTTAAAGTGTACAATTCAGTGATGTTTACTATATTCAGAGCTGTGCAACCATTGCCACTACCTAATTTCAGAGCATTTTCATCACCCCAAAAGGGAACCCCATACCCATTAGCGGTCCTCTCCATTACCCTCTCCCTCTCCTCTCCTCCTTGGCAACCACTGTCTGCTTTCTGTTTTTATGGATTTGCATATTCTGAACATTTCATTTAAATGGAATTACTTAATTAGTTTTTTATTGCATTGTGATTTGGGGTGATTCCTTGTTCTATGGCTCCCTCTTATGTCAGTGTAGTAATGTCTTATATCCGTAGTGGATTTTTTTTGAAAGATGGGTTGTGTGTCCTCTGATTTCTCTCTCTCTCTCTTTTTTGTCTTGCAGGACCCTAAAGATTTCCCCTTTTGCTTCTTTCCTCTTTCACTATCCAGCTACCAAAGGACACCTTTCCCTTTCTTTTTGTCCCCTTTTTTTCTCCCAGAGCTATGCTTTTCAAAGATTACCACCTTGAATTTGCTGTACTTTTCAGACCCTTCCTGCAGTCATGCTTTGATCTGTAGTAATATTGTTCAGTATTTTCACATTTGTGGGGGAGTCTTTCTCTTCCCGGTGGTAGTTTTATTTTTTAATTTTATTTTATTTTTAAAGATTTTATTTATTTATTTTTGAGAGAGAGAGAGAAAGAGCAAGCCATGCGTAGGGGGGAGGGGCAGAGGGAGAAGCAGACTCCCCATTGAGCAGGGAGCCTGATGCAGGACTCAATCCCAGGACTCTGGGATCATGACCTGAGCCGAGGGTAGACATTTAACTGACTGAGCCACCCAGGTGTCCCCCTTTAACCCCCTTTTAGACATAATACACATGTAATAATAATAAAGGCTCTGAGTGTCTTGCTATAAAGAAATATGTTTAACTTTGTTTAACCCAGTATTATCTAAACTTATTTGACAGAAGAACCCTCATTTTTAAATTTTTATTTAATTTTTATTTTTTTAAAATATTTTATTTATTTGTCAGAGAGAGAGAGTGAGCACAAGCAAGGGGAGCTGCAGGCAGAGGGAGAAGCAGGCTCCCTGCTGAGCAGGGAGCCCCATACGGAACTCGATCCTAGGACCCTGGGATCATGACCTGAGCCGAAGGCAGGCGCTTAACCGACTGAGCCACCCAGGTGTCCCCCCTCATTTTTTAGTAACATCAAAGTGCTCCCCCCAAACAAAAGAAAAACCAGAACCCACACTAGAGTATTTCCTTACCTTGTCCCAAAAGATGTCCTAAGAATTTTAATTTTCTTGCTGATACACAGATACTGTGTTTCATCTGATCTACCAATCAAACCAATCAAAAAAAGATATAAATCTACTATGGCTTGTTCTTACTAAATCCATATTGGCTGCCTCCTGATCATCACTTTTATTGGTATGAGATCACTAATATGGACTCTACTTTCTTCAAGATTTGCTGAATTATATGTATGTCATTTCTGCTCTGAAGATCATCCTCCTGACAGAGGAGATAGAGATGAAGCAGAAATGGGAACTCTTCATTTTCCTGTGCCATGCATTAACATAACATTATCAGCTCCTGTCAGTGGACTTTTTCTGTCTTTGGCCTTTCTGGCTCTAAAGCAGGTTTCAAAACCTATCTTATGCTGCTTTGTCTTTTTAAAAGTAGTAAAAAAAGAGGGGGGGCGCTTGGGTGGCTCAGTTGGTTAAGCATCTGCCTTCAGCTCAGGTCATGAACCTGAGGTCTTGGGATTGAGCTCCGGGTTGGGCACCCTGCTCAGTAGGGAGTCTGCTTTTCCCTCTCCCTCAGACCCTCCTCCCTGCTCGCGCTCTTGCTCTCTCGCTCTCGCTCGCGCTCTCTCTCAATTGAATAAATACAAAATCTTTAAAAAAAAAGTAGTAAAATTTTTTTACATATTTTACTTTCTTAATGTATGCTTTTGTTTTCCTGACACTAATCTTTAAGCTTTCTGTTAAGGAATTTAAAAGCATACATATTTCTTGTTATGCTGTAACTTTTCTGAAAACCCTTTTGCCTTATCATAAGGAAGGAGAAGGATCAGGCCTGGAGGATGTGAGTTGTAAAATTCACTTAATCTAGGGGCATTGGGATGCTTTGGCAGACTCCTTGAAAAATTTCTGGCAGTGCTTTCCTGCCTTATATCCACTGTTAATCCCAGGCTATATTTTCTGTTTTTTGAAACTGGACTCTAGTTATACTAGGTAGAATTGGCCAGTTTGAACTGTTTTCATGTCATATGCTTATTAGTGGATTCAACTATACTCAAGTTTAATTAAAGAAGTATTTATGTGAGGGATCAGTGTTGAAGTTGTCAGTACTGATAATGTGTACCAGGGAAAAGGTAGAAATATTTGGCAGGACACTGAGTACCATTGCAACGTTTGTTAATAAGCAATAGGAAGGCATTGACCCACTAATAGATGTTTGGTTTCCCTACAGGAACAAAAGTTGAACAGTTTGCAAAAATTGGATGGAAAAATCATAAACATTCAGTTAATAACCCGTAAGTATTTTGGAAATATGAAATAGTGAAAATCTGGGTTATCCTGCTATGTAATATATAACTTTATACTTGAAAAGTAAATGCAAGACCTCAAAGATATTAACTAGAATGTTTTATTGTCTTTCAGATAAAAGGCTTGGCCCAAGTAAACTTTTGACTACAGTTTTAGTTTTGGGTCTGTTTGTATTTAGGATGCCATTTAAGTTTACAAAAGAGTGTGAATGGTTGTTCTTAAAGATGTAATTGGTCATACATTGCAACTGCAGTATTGAAATTTTTGTGATAATTTTGGTTGGAAATAACCAGTGACCATTTTAAACCATTCCTTAAAACTTTTCTTAAAGTGTTCATAAAATGCCTATTAGTAGCCATTTTAATTACTTTCTATTAAATATTTGTATTACTTTAGTAATGTGTTTTAGTTATGTCAGTGTCATTAACTCTTATTCTGGTAGAATAATATGATTATTATATCCTAAATGATCTGAAGTAAAATTACATCTTGTGTATTACAGATCATTCATCTTTGAATCCCTCGTGCCTACTGCAATGCCAGGCTTATAGCATGTACTTAATGGTTGCTGAATAAAATTGGTTCACTGGCAATTGAATTAATCTCTACAAAAGCAATACCACTAGGCAATAAGAGAGTAATAACTAGCTTTATTAAATGCCAACTGTCTGTCACTGTGCTAGGTATTTTTATGTACATTTTGATTTAATCCTCTCAAGGACCCTATAAGGTAGATATTTTTATTCTCATTTTATAGATAAGGAAAACGAGGTTTACAGAAATGAAGCAACTTGCACAGGATCATTCTAAGTAGTGGTAAAATAATGTTTATATTTCCTCCTACTAGATTGTAAACTCCTTGAGGACCAGAGCCATCTCTTCCTGATCTTAATGCTTAGCAGGGATCTTGGAACATGATAGGTGCTCAGTAAATTGTTTCTGAACTATTAAACAAATTTTGTCATATTTACTAACATAAAACCATGACAAGGAATATTTTATACCACAAATGGATCATTACCACATATTTCTAATATTTCATGCTACTGCTCGTTCTCCTGATTCTCCTAATTTTAAATTGATGTTTGAGTTCAGGGCATACTTAATTAACAAGTAATATCTAATCCCATACCCTAGATCAAAGGATATTTTATGAAAGATGTAAAGGTATTGCAAAAGCTTTAGTGAATTTTCATTACTTACATGATAAAATACAAATTCCTTCATATGAGATAATAAGATTGTTATAATTTGGCCCACTCTACTTTGCCAGTCTTATTTCCTGCCACTTTCTGGCTATTCCCAATCTCTAGCCTCACCAGATTACTTTTTTCCCCCCAAGTATAGTATATAATACTCACTTTTGTGTTTTTACTTAGCCTGTTAGCTCTCCGTGGAATATCCTTTTGCCTTTCTTTTGCTTGGTGAATATCTACTTACCCATCAATCCCCAACCCAAATGTCATTACTTCTCTTAACATCTTTTTTTTTTTTTTAAGATTTATTTACTTATTAGAGAGAGAGAGAAAACAAGTACAGGGAGGGGTGGAGGGAGAGGGAGAAACTTTAGCAGACTCCTTGCTGAGCTCAGAGCCCAATGCAGGGCTTGATCCCACGACCTTGAGATCATGACCTGAGCCAAAACCAAGAGTCACATGCTTAACTGACTGAGCCACCCAGGTGCCCCCCTGTATACCATCTCTGTCGTCATATTTATCATATTATATTTGTTTGGCACAGATTCAGACTGAATTCCTTGAGGGTAAGGACCCATGGGACATACCCACGTCCCATGAGCCTAGCACAGGATCTGGCACAAATTAGGTGTTTTTGGAAGTTGGTGATGGTCAAAGTTAACTTTAGAAGCAGAGGTACAGGTACTAGTATACAGATCTAAGTTACATGGGCTTTATTTCTAAACATTTGAATTGCTTTTTAATTTCCATACCAGTTGAAATTTGCTTTTAGAATCTCCTTTGTGGTGTCTGCTGTTTCTGCTATTTGTGCCAGAGCAGTTTCTGAAACCATCTGATTTTATTTTTATTTTTTTATTTTTTAAAATATTTTATTTATTTATTTGAGAGGGAGAGATAGAGCATGAGAGGGATGGAGGGGCAGAGGGAGAGGGAGAGGCAGACTCCCTGCTAAGCAGGAGCCTGACATGGGGCTCAATCCCAGGACCCTAGGATAATGACCTGAGCTAATGGCAGACGCTTAACCGACTGAGCCACCCAGGCACCCTTGTTTTGCTTGTAAGGAACTAGTATTTAATAATTCTCCAGGGGGGAAAAAATGGTATCCTATTTTAACCCCCAACTGATCTGACACCTACTAGGTGTACTGCAATTCAATTCTGTCACTAACCACTCGAGTTGATGCAGACCCCCTGAATTAAGGACTTAGTCCTCCACAAGACTGCCCTCACTTAAGATGGCAGCCACAAGTAGGGTCCCCAGGCCACCTGTACTTCTGACCAACTGACTAAATTCAGGGGTTTCCATGATCACTCACGTTTGATAATTCACTAGAGTTACTCACAGAACTCAGGAAAGTGTTATACTTATGATTACAGTATTATTATAAAGAATACAACTCAGGAACAGCCAAATAAAGAGGCACATAGGGTAATGTCTGAGAGAATTCCTAAAGCTGAGTTTCTGTACCCTCTTCCCATGGAGTCGGGACACATCAATCTCCTGATATATGAAGGTACTCACCAACCAGGAAGCTCCAGCAAGCTTCAGTGTCCAGAGTTTTTAATTGGGGCTTTATTATGCAGGCATACTTGATTAAATCATTGGCCACATGACTGAACTCAATCTCCAGCCCCCTCCCTTCTCCTCAGCGGTCAAAGTGACTCAAGAGTCCTAATCCTGTATTCACATGGTTGGTGTTTCTGGGTGACCAGCCCCTTGCCTTCCCTCTTCCCCTTCCCAGTTAACAAGGGGCCCACTATGAGTCACCCTATTAGCATAACAGACACTCCTATAACTCAGAAAATTGCAAGGGTTTTAGAAGCTCTATGCTAGGAACCCAGGACAAAGATTAGACAAATTTTTTATTATACAGCATATGGTATTTTGGAGATTAGATTTTTAAAAACTTCAATTCAAACAACTTATATTAAAGGTTGAAACTTCATAAAAGCCTGTCTTTTGGTTGTAAAAACAATATTTACATATTATTCTCTGACTTTTGGATCAGAATATTTTCAACAAAATTGTTATTGCTACCTCCTATTCTATAACTACTTATTTTGTACTTAGGCATTCCCAGTTCCAACAGGAATACAGTTTAGACGAAGTGATGACATCTCGAGAAGTTTTTGATTATTTGACTGTCTTACAATGTTGGTAAGAAAACCACATTTTAATATTTATTTATTCATTTATTTATTTTTAAAAAAGATTTATTTATTTATTTGAGAGAGAGTGTAGCGGGGAGGGAGATTGCAGCGAGAGAGAATCTTCAAGCAGGCTCCCTGCTGAGTGCGGAGCCCAGTGTGGGGCTGGATCCCACGACCCATGAAATCATGACCTGAGCTGAAACCAAGAGTCGGATGCTCAACTGACTGAGCCACCAAGGTGCCCCCACATTTTAATATTTAATAGAGAAAAATAATTGCTCCCTCCCCCCCGCCTTAGGTAAACCTTAGGCTTTGTGTCTGGGTAAATCTGTATCTGTATCTGCTTCTGCAGCACTCCTGCTAATGTGTCCTCACTCTGGAGGGAGGACCTGTACTTCTTATTCATATCTAGAGACAGACTGTCTTTTCTCTTGGAAAATCCTGTATTTTATTTCCTTCTTTCATGAGTTCTACCTACTTTTTAAAAATTGTATTTTATTCATGTAAATGTGGCTTAGGAGGCCAGTGGAGTCCAGAGTTTCTCCCTTAAGCGTTTTGTTTTCTCTGCTGTATGCTTCTACCTTAGGAAATGTTACTCAATTATAGTAACTAAGAGTAAATGTGAAACAAGAAAAATGAAAAACAAGAGAAAATAGCTCTAATAATGGTAATAGTTGCATCCTGAAAATTGCTCAACAATATCTGTCTCCTGGAAGATACTGGCTAGCATGCAAGTGAACAAACGGAGTCAGCTTTTATCTGTTGCAATATGAAGGTCTGCCCATTTATAAATCCAGCTGAACTCAGAGAAGGCTTTTTGTGTCTGCCACTTTCCTTTACAGCTTGCTATAAGGAAAAGAGCTGTTTTGAGGAGATCACCAAAGTCTTAACTAAACCACTTTCTGGTTTGGACTTTCTGGTATCTGTATCCCATCTTTTCCCAGTTTTCAAAAGGATTCCATGACTGGTTATTTGGGAAACAGCAAAGTTGGAGCTAATTAGGCCTATAGTGGAATTTTTATTGTACTAGGATAAAAATAACCTGTGGACTCCTCAGAAGTGACTCTGAGCTGTCTTATGCATCGGCAGAGGCTAATCCAGGGTTCTTTGCAATGAGAACTTTTTGGGAGAGACTCTTAAAGACCAAGCAGTGACTGATAGTATTTAAGTTCTGATAGAGGTTCAGTGCTCAAGTGGGAAGCATGTATAATTTTTAACTGTAGATTTCACAATGAAGACAGTGCAATGACTAGCAAACATCCTCAGTTTTTCTTTCCACATAGAAAGAACTCCTAGTCTATAATCCTAGGATAGAGGTAGACTGGGTGTAAATAATTGTTTTTACCTCCTCTTAGTCCCACTTCAGATGGTGCTGCAGCGGCAATTTTGGCTAGTGAAATATTTGTACGGAAGTATGGCCTGGAATCCAAAGCTGTGGAAATTTTGGCACAAGAGATGGTAACTGATTTGCCAAGCTCATTTGAAGACAAAAGCATTATTAAAATGGTATGTCTGAGATGCTTTTTTTTTTAAATTAAGTTCAATTAGCCAACATATAGGGTATGTCTGAGATTCTATTTTATTTATCAATTGAGGGATTTCTGTTTAAAAATTTTAAGGTGACATCATGTTGTCATTCGCTCTAGAAGTTATTTACTTGAAAAAAAAATCAGTCCAGAAAACTTAGTATTATAACCCATCCTTAAGAATCTGTTAAGGGAAAAAAACTGATGAGAACATATGCTTCTTGTGATAGAGCCATGCATGCATTTTTAACTAACTAAACGTGCTATTTTGGTGGGCTTTTTTCTTTTTGAGTTGACTGGATATGCCCAGAGCTCCTTTCTTACACAGCTGAGGGAAAAACAAGGATATTTTCAGGGAACTTTCTTGACCCTTAGCACTTTAAAAATGCTGATTAAAGATTGAGTAAATATGGAGGAAGTTAAAAAAATGAGAATTCAGACAGAGTTAGTTGAATATTTGAAGATGCACACGTACATATTAAAGAAATGCAAAGGTGCATATATATGCACATATATAATAATCAAAAGGTAATTAGAGTTTACAAAATGATATTGCAACAATGCTTTGAATTTGAAAATGTCTCTGTAACTTGCCCAAGATCACAAAGCTGGGATGTGGCTGAGATAGAATGTCTCAGGTTTTCTGAGTACAGTACATTTACACCACAATTTTATTCCTTGGAGAAAAGTTGACTTGTTATTATCTGAGGGCAAAGGGGTGTTAAGATCAAGGATTTGGAAAAATCGTATCCTATATGATTTTTTTAAATGAAGATTGTTTATTTTCATGTAGAAATTCCTCATAGTTTTTAGTGTATCTGAGTCATAATGATCTATTGATCTATCTCTTCCAACCTATTTACCACAACAACATATTGTGGTTTGATAAGAGTTTTTATAACTGCACAAGATATGGCCCGAGGAATTATAAGTCCTTTTTATATATCTTATTTAAAATTCTGTTCTTTATAGTACAGAATTCAATATGTACATTCTCCATTCTGAGTATTCTTTTATTTTGACTTTCTGTGTAATATAGAATCAATTGAGATTTCAATATGTGCATTCAATTTTCAGCTATTAAAGGTTATACATATTAATCTCTTATGAATCTTATATAAAAGTCCCAGTTTTGATGCCCTTAATTTATTTATATGTGGTTTTGGTTTTAGGTTGGCTTTGATATGAGTAAAGAAGCTGCCAGAAAGTGCTATGAGAAATCTGGCCTGAGACCAAATGATATTGATGTTATAGAACTTCATGATTGCTTTTCTGTCAATGAACTCCTTACTTATGAAGCCCTGGGACTCTGTCCAGAAGGTAATATCTTTGGTGAGATGCAGATTAACTTAGTAAATTTCACTGAGGAAATTTCATTTTTGCCATTAAAAAGAAGAATTCACTAATTGCTTTTACCTCCATGTTGGCTCTGCCGTACTGTGCAAAGTGAATGTAAGCTATCTTGATACTAGACTTTTTAGAACAGGTAGTCTTGGACAATACCAACACTGAGATAACAGATTATACAAATAATTTGTATTATGTAAATCAGGGGTACTTATTATGAACCATTAAGTAAAAAAAAAAAAAGGATAAAAATTACATAGGTAATTCCAAATATTTCATATTGTGTTTGAATAAATACTTGCAGAAAGGAAAATGGAAAAACTGGTTGTTGAGATCTGGAGGATTTTTTTCTTTTCATTTCCAAAGTGGTTGTATTATTTTTCATTAATATCAGTAGTGTATGAGAGTTTTAGTTGCTTCACATCCTCACCAACAGTTTTAAACATCTCAGCCACTGAAAAGAGTATTGTGTGTCCTGCAGCAATCAGATAAGAAAAAGAAATAAAAGACATCCAGATTGGTAAGGAAGAAGTGAAATTGTCACTATTTGCAAATGACATGATACTATATATAGAATACTCTAAAGATCCCACTAAAGAAAAACTATTAGAACTGATAAATGAATTCAGGAAAGTTGCAGGATACAAAATTAATATACAGAAATCTGTTGCATTTCTATACCCTCATAATGAAGTAGCAGAAATAGAAATTAAGGAAACAATTCCATTTAAATTATACCAAAAAGAATAAAATACCTAGGAATAAATTTAACCAAGGAGATGAAAGTGTTTTATACTCTGAAAACTGTAAGACATAGATGAAAGAAATTGAAGATGACACAAACAACTGAAGAGATATACCATGCTCATGGATTGGAAGAATTAATATTGTCAAAATATTCATACTACCTGAAGAAATCTATAGATCCAATGCAATCCTTATCAAAATACCACTAGTGTTTTTCACAGAACTAGAACAGATATTCCTAAAATTTGTATAGAACCACAAAAGACTCCAAATAGCCAAAACAGTCTTGAGAAAGAAGAACAAAGCTGGAGGTATCACAGTCTCAGATTTCAAGATATACTACAAAGTTATAGTAATCAAAGCAGTATGGTATTGGCAGAAAAATAGGCATATAGATCACTGAACAGGAGAGCCCAGAAATAAACTCACACTTGTATGGTCAATTAATCTACAACAAAGGAGGCAAGCCTATATAATGGGAAGAGACAGTTTCTTAGATAAGTAGTGCTGGGAAAACTGAACCACTGTCTTATACCATACACAGAAATAAACTCAAAATGGATTAAAGACCTAAAGTTGAGACCTGAAACCATAAATCTTTGAAAAGAAAACAAAGGCAGTAATCTCTTGGACACATTAGCCTTAGCAATATTTTTATGGATATGTCTCCTCAGGGAAGAGAAACAAAAGCAACAATAAACTATTGAGACTATACCACAATTAAGCAAAGGGAACCATCAACAAAACAAAATGGCAACTTCTGGATGGGAGAATATATTTGCAAATGATATATCTGATAAGGGGTTAAATATCCAAAATATATAAAGAACTTATACAACTCAACATCAAAACCCCCAAATAATCCAATTGAAAAATGAGCAGAGGACCTGAATAAACATTTTTCCAAAGAAAACATGCAGATGGCCAACAGATACATAAAAAGATGCTGAACATCAGTAATCATCAGGGAAATGCAAATTAAAATCACAATTAGTCAAAATAGCAAATATCAAAAAGATAAAAAATAAGTGTTGGCAAGGATGTAGAGAAAAGGGAACACTCATGCACTTTTGATAGGAATGTAAATTGGTACAATCACTGTGGAGACAGTATGGAAGTTCCTCAAAAAATTAAAAAATAGAAATATCATACAATTCAGTAATTCCACTACTAGATATTTATCCAAAGAAAGCAAAAACACTAATTTGAAAAGATATTTGCACCCCATGTTTATTGCAGTGTTAGTTACTACAGCCACAATATGGGAGCAACCTGTGTCCATCAATAGATGACTGGATAAAGATGCAGGGTGTGTGTGTGTGTGTGTGTGCGCACGTGTGCGCGTGTGCGTGGGGGTGTGTGTGGGGGGAGGGGGTTTCTGTGTATATAAACACAATGGAATATTACTCAGCCATAAAAAAAGAATGAGATCTTGCCATTTGTGACAACATGGATAGATGTAGAGGGTATTATGCTAAATAAAATAAGTCAGACAGAGAAAGTCTGTAGTTTTCTTCTTTCCCTGGTTTTGGTATTAAAGTTATGCTGGTCTCAGAAAACAAATTGAGCAGTGACCATTCATTCTGTATTTTCTGAAAAAGTTTGTGTAAGATTAGTGTTAGTTCTTCCTTGACTGTTTCATAGAATTTACCAGTATAATCAAGTGCTTTTCAGGTTTCTTTTTGGGAAAGTTTTTGATAAGTGAAAATTGGCTAATAGAGATGGGCCTATTCAGATTTTCTGTTTCTTCCAGGGTCTATCAATTTTTGTAAGTTATATTTTTAAAGAAATTTACCCATTTCATTGTTGTCAAATTTATTGGCGAAATTTGCGCAAAGTATTCTTTTATTATTTTAATGTCTATAGGGTCTATGGTGATAACTTCTTTTTTATTCCTTGTATTGGTGATTGGTGTTCTTTTTCCTTTTTTTTCTTGATCTGTCTAGCTAGATATTTGTCAGTTTTGTTGAGCTTTAACAAGATTCAGCTTTGGCTTTGTTAATTTTCTTTATTGTCTATTTTTCCATTTCATTGATTTCTGCTCTTTTTTTTCCTTCCTTTAACTTACTTTGGGTTTACTTTGGTTTTCTTCTTTTAAGTTTCTTACAGGAGAACCTTAGGTCATTTATTTTAGATCTTTCTCCTTTTCTCATATAAGTATTTAAAGCTGTATGCTTTCCTCTAAGTAGTATTTTAGCTACCTTCTATAAAATTTAATATATTTCATCATTATTCAGCTCAAAATATACTTTTTTTTTTTAAAGATTTTATTTATTTATTCATGAGAGACAGAGAGAGAGAGGCAGAGGGAGAAGCAGGCTCCCAAGGAGCAGGGAGCCCGATGTGGG